AAAAGTCAAAGGGTTAACCGGTTTAAAAGGTAACATGTTACCCATTGCTGTTATGGGTAGATTTTTTAAAGTACAATGCCTTAATAAAAAATAATTTGAAAGTACATTGTTGTAATAAAGAAAAACAAAAGTAGAATGCTATAATAAGAAATTTTGTGAAAGTAGGTTGCTATTTCATGCATTTAACCCTATAATATAAATACAGACATAGACTTGGGATCATGTGAGACCAATGGTTTTTCGTGAAACCCGTTAGACTAATTCTCAACCCTTGGATTAGATCTACAATCTGAACATTCATAATCACAAAATTGCCACGAGACTTCTCAATAATCACAAAATTGCCACCGTACAACTTTAGACCATTAGATCATTAGCTTATAAAGTTGATCAATGAACATAAATTTGTCTTACGGGTCTCACAAAAAACCTTTTGTCTCACATTAACCCAATAATCCACAAATTTATCGTCACATGAAATATATTCTCACCTTGCCATAACTCCTCAAAATAAACTAGAGTTTAGACATAATCCTAAAAACATCATGATTCACGATAGACAAATATTCTAGATTACTGACTCGAAACTGGGAACTCCCAAACAGCCAAACTCGTCAACCCAAACTTTCACTTTCCTTAGCTTCCTATAAAATAAAATGTATGTAAAAGACTAAATAAACAAATATACTGTATTGTAGTTATGTCTTCCACATCATAATCATACTTAATATACGACAATATGTTTCGGTCTCATCACAACAAGTTTCTATAAACAACACAATATAGTATCAATAAAAATGATTAAAATATATAACTAAAAAAATATAACTAAAAACAAATAAAAGGTTACCTCGTATCTCATTCAATAGTCAACTTTAAACACATATTAGAGCCTCCAATGTTTTTGGATGAAGTCAACTACAATGTGGATTTATCAAAACTACAAAGACAACAAAAAATATTATTTTGGACAAGAACAACATTTGTAAACAGGCCCGTTCCTGACTATTTATAGGCCCTGGACGAACGTAAAAACAGGGTCCACTGCAAGAAACAAGACAACAACTTTTGTCGTCGTTAAAAGTGCATTTATCATCAGAAATAACATATAACAACATGTCGTCGTTATAACTTGTGACGGAAACATTTCATCCCTAAAGACGCATCGTCAAAACTCACTTTTCTTGTACTGACCCTCAGTAAGTACGAAAAAAAATTCAATAAATGTTTTTCATTAGTATAAATTTGAGTACACAAAATGATAATAATTTACTGAGGAAAGAAATTTTAATAACAAGAAATATATGTTATTTTGATACCAAAAAAAAATCATGTGATTGAAGTAGTCATGAGGGTCAATGAGAGATCAATAATAAAGAAGATTATCAAAGTTTTCTATACAAGTAGACAAATGAGTATGAATAAGAATATGAAAGAAAAGATGATCAATTGAGATCCAATAAAAATAAATAATGAATTAAACATATAATACGCAAGCTCAACAAATGATTGTTTAAGCACTTAAATAGAATATTGTGGTGTGATGAAATCCCAATTAAAGATGCATAAGTCAAACAATTGATGAAAATATTTAAATTTTATTTTTCTTCTTTTTTTGCTCAACTAAAATAAGATGTTAAGATTAAAAGTTTATGGAACATGACATATATAAGAGACATTACTAAATACATCTAGTAGAAAAAATTTATTAATTAATCACAAAACCATGAAACACGTCATAAATTATAAGAACAATAGATTGATTGTCAAACAATAGTAAAATATTTTATGTGAAAACAAAAATAGATAAATTAGAACAAGATAACCAAATAACAATAGTCATTAGAAGTAGAAATTGATAAAAATATTCAACGAAAATATATAGCAATAGCAAGCATATAATCTTAATATTGAATTGTTGAAGCACGAAAACAATCAAACATATAAAGATAGCAATAGCCAATATCATTGGACCTTGTTGGAGATACAAAAAAAATTAGACAGTCAATAAACAATAGCATATAATGAATGACCAATTAATTTTTTTTTTATCTTCCAATGTAATTAGTTGATATATTTTTTGGCCCTTATTTATCTACTAAATTATTTTTGTCTCTTAATACATGCTACAATTTTTTGTATTTCTTTAATTTATTAAATTCTTTTAGACTAATATTGTATTTAAAGAGGAAAATTTGGGCCCCTGATATCTTTGGACCTTGGGCATACACTCGTGCTGCCCTCCCCTAAGGACGGCCCTGTTTGTAAAAGATATTTTATGTATTTAATTAAAACTGAAATAATGTATTAAAAATATTTATTTATTTTTGGGGGAAATAAATAGAGAAGGAATATTTGACATTTGGACGCGCGTGGGAAACACCTCCAGTAGCTTTACCGTACCTTCTTCTCAACATTCAAATCCATATCCCGCCACCCCTTTCCCCTGTTTTCTTTACCTTTTTCCCTAATCATCCTTTTTTTTTTTTTTTTTTAATTTCTCTTTTCATCTCACAGATTTCAAATCTTTAACAAAAACCCACCTCAATTATCTGATCATCTAACCACCATGAAGTTCCTTCACTCACCTTCATCCTCTTCTTCCGCCACCAATTACACCGCCACCGGCTGTTTCCCCGCCCTCCTGCGCCGCCTTCTGTGTTTTCACACCCTTCCCACACTCCCCTTTGATCATCACATCGCAGAATCTTATGGAAATGATGAATTTCATGAGCTCGAGGGCAATCCTGGGATCGTGGCGAAACTGATGGGATTGGATTCGATGCCGGCGATGGATAGATGCAGGGGATTTGGGTTGCAGAAGGGTACTTGTGTTAATGAAGTTCCGAGTTTTGTCGAGCTTGAAAATGAGAAATTCATCATTCTTAGCTTTGAAGGAGGTGGTAAAGATAAGGAATTGGGGTTGAAATCTTCGAAAACGTCAAAGGGTTTGATTGAATTCAAGGAGAAAACGAGGAACAAGAAGAATCAAGAAATGCCCATTTGTAAAAGTCCAGAGAGTGATGGCAAAGTTATGAATTCGTGTAGATTGTTCGATTTCAACAAGAATTCCGAGAACCCGTGTGATACAGAGTTCTCTAAAAGAAGCAGATCAAGGAAGAAAAAACTCGAGGAAGTCGACACCGATTCCGATTCAGAGAATTCTAGCCCAGTTTCTGTTCTTGAATTCTCAGACCATCAAGAAGCTTTACATTCAGGTTTGATTCTTAACAGACATGCTTTCTTTTTGTTGCAAGATTCAGTTTTGGTGATCTGGGTATGAACTATTTGCAGGAAAACAAGATTCAAAGCCGAAAAACTCGAACTTGAGGAGGGAATTGAGAGCGGATCTCGAGAAGAATTCACCATCTCCATCGTCAGTCGTTGATGAATCAAGCAGAAATGGTAAGAACTGTGTTGGATTAAAGAAGCAGAAGCAGAAGAAGAAGAAGAAGAAGAATCATCATGTTGTGATTGAGGAATTTGGGGAGATGTGGGAAGAGATCTGCAAAGTGGCAGAAAGAGATGTGATGATGGATTCAACAAGAGAAAGATGGAAAGATCAAGAATTTGAAGAAATTGTTGTGAATTTTGAGTTGCAAATTCTTGATCACTTGATACTTGAATTATTCACCATCACATGAAAAACCAGTTTTGATTTGTAATACCACCAAGTTTTCTTCTGTATTGGTTTCTTTGTTTGGATACATGCAAAAATTGCATCCGAAAGCGAGTAAACTTGATCGATGCATCTCGGATAATGTGTTAACCGTGTTAGATTTGTGGTTGGGATCTGTAGATTATGCAAAACGACTTTCGAATGTTTGGAGATGCCCACTAAACGATGTGCTTTTAGTGGTAGTAATATGTATGGTGTTGACGATTGTCAAAACCGATACAAATAAGTTTCGGATAACGTGTGTAATAGACCCACTGATGAATGCCGAAACAAATGGATCGTAAGTAAGTTTGATGTTTTAAACAAATGATAATGCATGGCCATGACAACGATTCGATGTGGTTTCTTTATCGGCATGATCTTGTACGTTTATAGAGAGAGAAGAGTGTGATTCATCTAACTGTAGAGCCTGTCTGTATCGCACAATTTAGAATTTTTATGACACGTTTTGTATTTTTATTGAACCACATGCGGTATGCACTTTTTGTAATATAACTGAGGTTCAAAACGCACCACACGTATATTAAATTATATTGTTATGAAAAATATAAATATACCATAACAAAATTAATAAATAATTAGAGGTATAGTGAGATGGTGCAAATATGAGTAATTTCAACACATTATTTATAATTTCATTAAAAAGAGAATCAAAAGTTAAAAATATTTAAAAAGAATTATATTTAATTTCAATATTTAAAAAGAATTATATTTAATTTATATTGAAATTAAATATAATTTTATCATATCAATACACTTCGGTAGAATTGAATAAAAAATTAAATTTTCTTTTCACACATCAAGTTTTAGAGAATTATCTGAATTTTGATTTTTTTTAAGTATATAATAAGTATATACGGAAAATAAACTCAAACATCATCCTCACATTTGGCGGGGTTTGAATAAATACTATGAAACAGATTCATACAAGGAAGAAATACATGTTCATCTAGTTAAGAAATACAAAGTAATACAGTGAACCAGATTCATATAGTGATGAAATAATGTTTTTCATACAGTGAAATATAATTTTATTCAGTGAAATAGTTGTATACAGTGAAGAGGACAGTGATGAAATACAGTTTCATACAGTGAAACAAACTCATATAGGTGATTTGTTGATTTTGCCCCTTTTTAATTAAAAATTAAACTTTTTTTAATTTCCTAATATAACATTATTTAATCTTGACCATTGATCAAGAAAATGAATTATTGAAATTGATTTGTAGGGTTTTCACAAATGAGAGTAGTTTGCAATTGATTACTCCTCTCTCTCTCCCTCTCTCTCTCTCTCTACGGGGGAAATCTTTAAGAAATGAAAAAACTATATATATAAGCGGGATGTTCGGGGGAAATCTTTAAAAAATGAAAAAACTGAGTAGTAACATCCTGATGACTATTCATCTGGACGCGTGCACGTATACATACAAGAAATTAGAGTTGTTTCTTGGTTTTTGTGCCCGTATACATATCATGCATATGTACATACCGTCTAAATGAATGGTTACCAATGTATTTCTTAATTTTTTATTTTTATATTGTTTTCTCGTAAACCTGATCCATATATACAAATACCACAAAGCTAAATACCTTGTTAAACTACATATTTGACCTTATAACTAGTAAAACATCCTCTTGAATTTGAAGCAATAACAAAAGAACCAAATACAGTTTGAATCCAATGGATGTATACCAAGTCTAACCTACGGATTTAGGAATTCGAAACGCATGAGAAGCTTTACGAACTTGTACTTTTCGCCTTTTATGTTGTACAACGGGACACAACGTATGCCGGTTCTCAACTCAGAAACGGGCAGGCACGTTTGGCCTGCAAACTCATTTTTCTTGGTAGTGTCAATATCTTCAACCTTGATTCTAAGCAACGCCAGTTCCGGGACTCTGATCTGAAATTCAAACTCCTTGTCCCAAACCGGCCACCAATCATCTTCAATAGACATGGTTCTATGAGCTTTTGCAGTTTTATCATCTCCATATCCAGCCATGCCCACCTACAAGTTTAAATCATCATCCACCATTTTTAAATCCGCTCAGCTCTGATACCATGTTAGAATATGTGAGCCATCAAATTACCCTCCAAAAGAGCCCCTCAAGAAAGACAGAAGGTTCCAACGTGTATTGAACAGAAAGTCAACTCACTTTTACACAGAAGTCTGGTGGGGAACAGTAATCAAAGTGAGTGTGGTGAAACTCTAAATGCCATCCTTCTCCCATGTAAACCTTTACCTGTTCAAGAAAAGAATCAAGAACATGTGAGCATGGCAATGGAAACTTGTATATAATGAAGAGATTTTAGATTTTTAATCAACCTTCAAAATTTTTTGAACATCGGTCGGACGAATGGCCAGGTCCCCTTCACATAGAAACTTCGGTTTCTTCACGTAGCCACGGCCATTGTTGGCTCTGAACATTCCTTGCATCAACCATAGGTTCTCACCATATCCCTGCAAGCGTCGAGAACATGCATGTAAATAGTAAAAAACTCCACGTGTCACCCAGAAAAACTAGTCATTTTCTAAGCTAAACCAAATGAGCCCAATCTATCACCCCGGGGGGGTTAAATGTACGCTGACCTATCCTTTACCCAAAAGAGTAGAGCAGTTGTTTTGGTGAGGACACCTGGGTAGTGAGAAGTGTGTGAAAGGAAGACAGATTAGAGAAATTAGATGCGAGTAAGGTAGGAAAACATACACCTACCTGCATGTTGAACGCAACCATTTGAGCTCCATGCTTCCAACCATGAAATGGATTGTAATTCGATGAGTCAAGGCGTGTTCCCTTAGGGTACACCCTTAATATATTCCTCTGCGTAAATCTAGAGTGATGATATTTGGGTATCAAACATCAATCAACAAACAATAATGAAACGCAATACCAAGGCTTAAAGCTTTGTCCAACAAACTAGCTGATAAGCTAGTTGTCAGATGAAAAACTAGTTGTTGGCTGATAAACTAGTCATGTTTGGTAAAAACTAAATGGAGCTAAATGACAATGTAAAATGATCTAAAAGAAATATATAAGGGGCATTTATGTAAACTATAAGAGACATAATTGGAAAAGTAAGAAAAGAAACCCCAATAAGGTATCTGAAATACCTTTTCAAAAAGCTAGCTTATGGCTCACCAAACGGATAACCTAATGTATGGTTGCCAAAGATGGGCTAAACCATCAACAGTTAGATAACCTTTATCTGTTCCAATTGTAGAAATGAAGTATCTTTAAAAACTAGTGTGAAATGTTATAGTTTGGATTGAAGTTTATTTGGTCCAGAACAGATTTGGGGTTTTGCTAAAAATCCAAAATTTAAGGGATGGGATCTATAGATTCAAACATAAATCTGTGTATGTGTACCACCATAAAACCTTGTATGAACCCATGTACCTCACGATATCTTGTCCATATTCTTCGCAAGCTTCTACAAGTTCTTGTTCACTCAAGCTTAGACGTTTGACATTATTCGGGTCAACATGAAGAGAATCACGCATGTCACCTTCATGCTTCACGGCATGAATACCAATCAAATGCCTGTACTCGGGGGCTTCACCCTGCATATCTTCCTCCTGATTTTTAATGTCTTCATCTGAACCATCTTTGCTTTTCAAGCAGTCGAAAATTGTAGGAAACAGTATATTCTGTTAGAGAAAGGAAACACCAATCATGCCAAAGATACAAAAATATAAAGGAAAAAATAAAGTAATCAAATTACATTAACTATTCTCGTATCATCCATAGTCTCTGACTCCAATGACTCGTTTGGTGGTTTTGTTGAAATGACAATTTTTCCCTTAAGTTCTGCAGGTGAAGGGAGTTTTGTCGGTTTATAATCTTTTTCTGGTTGAATCAGCATATCCTCGAATATGCGTTTGACCATCTACAATAAGTTGCACTTTCATAGTGCGTTAGTAAAGATGGGTAGGGAGATTCAAAACCAATCATCAAGATACAGAAAGACTTTACACACAAGTGCCACTTTTTTCCGGAGTTTTTTGTTGAGATGATCCTCGAAAGTGATAACAACCGGATATTCGGAAGCATGGAACGCATGATCCTTGATAACTTTCAAACATTTCCTCAGTTTAACAGAGGAAGTCAGAGTCCTTTACAAGAACAAAAAACAAAATGACCCGTTTAAGTTTTATATGCCCATGTTACATGTCAAATGGTGACACCTCTAAAGAGTATGTAAATCTATAGGGTTACGCATGCTTTGAGATCATTGGATGATCAGAAACCCAAATAGATATCATATGTTTATGAATATTAATAATTATTTATTATCCTAGAAGAATAATAAAAGTATGTGTCAAAAAATTAATTAATTAAGTTGATAAAATTAATCAAATAGAAACTTCTAAAAAGGAAAGGGCTAATGGGCTTAAGGATTAAGGTAACCCTGGCCCATGTTGGGAGTCTACCTCCAATCTATGCTAACCTGTGTATATACAGGGTTGGTTTCTGGTGAGAATGAAAGTTACGGTGAGAAGGGTAAGAAGGGATCTCCACCTTTGGATCAATCCTAATTGAAGAGAACCACTAGATCAACACTAATGAAATACACTAAATCAATTCCTTTCTAAAGTGCAATTCATGGGTTGTTTTGGGATTAAAAGTGTTCAAGGGTCCAAATCCCTTCTTACACTTCTCACCTTAACTCCTATTCTCACACGATCCTTCGTCTCTCTCTCTCTATATATATATTTGTTATACAGCCTAAGCCTAAATCTAATCCTAAATCCTAGAACTTTCGGTTACCATATAGCAGAAAAGAAAATTCATTATTTCTGTTAAAAACACATACTAGTTTTGTAGATCTGAGGGTTTTGGAGCTAGCACGCAATTGGAGCCAAGCACGTTCGTGTGTGGATCGCTCCAGAGAGAACCTGTTTTGGTTTCTTGTGCTACATACAATCCGCCTACAAACCCTCAAATCTACAAGACTAGTTGGATCTGTTTGTTTATATTCAGTTTAATGTGTCATTGGATCCGCTAGTGGGTTTCTTTAATTAAACGTTTTCTAAAATAAAAGTAACCTTTTTGATCAAAACTTTTATTGTTTCTGCTGCTTTAGATCTGGCTATTTTTGAAACCCTACAGATATAACAAAACATAATTCTGAAACACCAAAACAGAGATGGCTTGTGAACCAAATTAACAATCATTGAAGGTAATGTAGCAGAAAAAAGGTTATACTAGCCATCTAATATCGAGTAAATAATCAATCCATACCTTCCATGACAAACATTTATATCAGTGTTGGTTGAATTTGGCCAGAGATCCAGTTCGATACCTCTTACGCCTTTCTGTAGAGCCCTTATGATAGGCCTAACACTGCTGTCGCTTGTAAACTGGTTACCGGTTAAGTAAGTATTGTGGCTGGTATAGATATAATAATGAGAAAGTGGAGATTTCATGTCATCTAGAACTGCCTGAATAAGAAATATAAAAATATACAAGTTAATGCAGAAGAAGCATATATTCATTCTGAATCTTAGAGAAAATAACTCATGTAGGACCAACACAAGGATGCATGTTAAGAAACAATTAGACAAATGAATAATGCCAAGTCATAAAAGTAATCTGAACACAGCAGGATCTATGAGAATATGTGGAACCCCAATAAATTACTCTCCAAAAGAGTGCTTGAGGAGAGAGGGGGGATTCCAACACATCTTGAGGAGAAATTGTCCAAGTAGGGCCGATACATGCCCCCTCCAACAGAGGCTAGATAGGGCACATATTGTACTAGAGTATTGCGAGGGGGCTAATGGGTACAGATTACCTTAGAGTGGTGGACCTTGGCTCTGCTACCATGTGAGGATATGTGGAACCCATTAGATGACTCTCCAAAAGAGCTCTTGAGGAGACAAGGAAAGTTCCAACATATTTTGGAGAAATGGTCCAAGTCTAGCCAATGTGGGACTCTAACAAGATCATAGCTTTCACACTTCCCCCGAGATGCTTCTCAGGCTCACATGTGGAGAACCATATGGTGATGCATAACCGTACATAAACCAAATGAAGAAATGGGAAGGGGAAGTATCGAAGATATGTTCTTGTGAGACTTCATGCTACATAACTCGTTTAAAAGCTTAAGCTCGTAGGCCTCGCGATATTATCAACCATTAACACTAGATGCAAAGTGTACCAGTAAAAGTTATGAGAAGAAAGATTACGCAAAGAGGATGGTTGAGATCACTATAAAGAAATTGCAAGAGATGCAGGCCTGTATGGTGGAGGAGATTGTGATGCTTCGCTTTGTCAAATATGGCCTGAGCATCTGCATCAGCTTCTCCTTGGACGTGTGTCAAGAAATCTTGAAGATTGTTGACACTCATTTTACCTTTTTCTGAGTACTTCTCAACCACTTTTCTAATATCTCTGGGAAGTTCATTGCTTCTTGGCGTAAAATGTCTCAAGAAGCAACCAAATACCTCAAATGACTGCATTATTTACACAATAGACAAAAAAGAGACCAATTTTGTTATTTATCTTCCCTATAGCTTATATAGGCATGCATGTATATATCAAAAAGACATTGCTTCCACTAATTAAAAAAGGATGGGGTATCAAATGGGGAACTAAATTTTAAATATTCTAACCTCATTAATATTGCAAACAGTGAGAAGTATTCCTACCAGCTAATATTCCAGATGCCATTCTTTTGCTTCTCTTTCTATCCCAGGAATAATTCTCTGTATGCAATGGAATGGAACACATATGAGAATTAAAAAGTATTGCTTGGAACAAAGAAAGTAGAACAGGAAAAAAAATATATAGATGTAACAGATGGAAATATATAATCATGGATTCTATAGATGCATCTCTCTCTCTCTCTTTGATTGCTAATACAAGATTTTACGAGACTACTGTGTTTCAGCAGATTCATAACATATTTTAGCGTTTCCTTCTGTTTGATTTACATATGCGAATATTAAGAGCAACAGATTGCACAAAAATGAATAGGTTTCTCTTTTATAAACATATACACAGAGGTTCTATCTCAAAAATGAAAGATTACAGCTCTTTTCTACAACAAATGATGACAGATAAGTCACAATCGCAACAACAAAATTATGTACACGAAGCGCATCCCAAACCCGACTCTAAAAATGAATAATGAGCTAATCTAAGTGCATATAAACTAGAAAATGAGATTGGTAATGCATGTTTTAGATGAACTCGAACCGCATGAGTAACCTTGCTGATGTGTATTGGTCTCCTTTGCGGTTACAGAGTGGAATTGCATGGATTCCTGGCCTCAACTCTGAAACAGGCAGACAAGTTTGGCCAGCAAAATCATTTTTCTCGGACATGTTGTATTCACGTACTTCAATTCGAAGTAAAGCTAATTCAGGAACTGTCAATGGAAATGTAAACTCTTCATTCCAAACAGGCGTCCAATCGTCCTCCTTTATCTTGGTCTTTCTCATTTTCTTATCAACAGGTGCTCCAGCTATACCGACCTGTTACAGGGATACATGGTTTAACTAAACTGAATTATTACAAGTCCTGAAAAACTTAGAATTTTGAGAGATAAACTGGTAAATACAATCTTTACAACTCCTGGGTCACTGTGTTTCCTGATTTTTAACAATTATTTTTTATTTTATTTTTTTGGAAAAGGGGACGGAACCCCACGAAAATTTTTATTGATTTAACAATTATTAACTATTGAGTCTCTCTGTAGTTTGCAAAAACTAACAATTTCACCACCACAAGCATGTGGCATTTTTTATTGATGTCTTCCCAATTTAACAATTTGGTCACTTTGATTTCATAATTCTAACAAAATATTCATGGGGAATTATTTATAATGATTTGAAATATTTAATGTCTCTAGTCATAATTGGCTCTCCTCCATCCCACAGGGACCAACAAGGGATAGTACAGAAATGTTCACCAGTTCTCCATTGACTAAGCCTTTCAGCCAGATCTTAGGCCCTTACCCTCCATGGACAGTTTTACAAGCGTTGGATTGTCACCAATGTTTGTGTTGCTCAAGCCAACATTTTTGCTTCCGGTTAGTTATTATCTTTTTCAAAAAATATAAGTGTTCAAAATCTTTCTGTTAGGAGAGAACTCGTGATATTGTTTCATTTTCTTTTCTATTTTAGACTGTTTTGCTAATACCAACAAAATCAAAACAAATCAATTTTTAACATCAAAATTGATATTATTTATGAACCATTACAAAACTATTAATTATATTAAGCTATAAACTGTATAACCAAATAGAAAAGTAGATATCATGTATGATAGACAATGAAAAGAAGATGTTTAGTGATTTTATATGAAATCAAACAAAACGTCAGAAATGCAATGATCAAATCATTATAAAGTAAAGTGTAATAAGTATCATTAAAATTGAGTTGTCATGCCATGCCATTATTAGTTTTTACAAACTTGAATGACTTAATAGTTAGAATCCAAACCACACAAATTGACCTGATTGTTAAAATTGTAAAGCCACAATATGTTTTTGCCTACACAACTGCAAATCTGTTTTGCAGTAATTTTGGTTTTGCATCTCTTTTCCCTTATCATTTCTAATCCAATTTTCACCTGCTACAATAATCTTGTGTATGTTGTCTACTAGTAGCCCAAATATTTAGTCTCATAAACCATAAAACGTCTAATCTCCATCCTCTAGAACTTACCCTTGCGTTTCAAAAGATCTTACTGAATCACATAAGACTCTCAATAACATATAATGAATAACAGTACACCCTATGCTGCTTGTTACTACAGAGATTAAAGATCATTACCCTGGTGTAGAAATCCGGTGGAGAGTAGGTGTCGAAATGAGTTTTCTTAAAATCCAAATGCCATCCATCTCCCATATAAATTTTCACCTGTTAAATAAATATAGCTATGTCAGAAGAATATTTCCAAGTCTAAGTTAGACAGAGAGTGTATTTTTCTTAAGAGTATTAACCTTTAAAGTTTTCTTGGCTGGAAGCTTTGCTTTAGGATTAAACACCTCATTCTTGGGCCCACGTCTCATCAAAAAATCTGGTTTTTTCACATACCCACAACCTCCATTAGCTCTGAACATTCCATGCATTAACCAGAGTGATCTACCATATCCCTGCATTTTAATAGAACTTAGACAACAGATACTAAGAATAAATGGTGTAGAATATTCTATAGCACATCCATGCTTAGCAATTTACCTTTTATTCGTCATATTCATAGAATAGAATGGGGATTTGTTCTGGTGAGGATGGCAGGCAGATCTGTATTTTTTGGTTTTCTATTTATCAGAATTCAAGATCAGTCGATATCATAGCAATATGGTCATATGTGCTTGGTTGGCATACGTTTTCCATATTTGCAGTACCAGCAGATGGCTTGGTTTATAAAGCAACCACTAACAGAGGGAGTAATGAATGTCTATCTCATAATTATTATCCTTTTTAATTAACTAAATGACAATTTTACCCTTAATAACAGAAGGAGTAATTAATGTTTCTTTCTCATAATTAAGAGTATAATTGAAAGTAGGCACCGTGGACACTTATTTTGGGACAATTACAATAGAAATGTGGACACTTATTTGGGACAAAGGGAGTAATAGAGTGACAAATTTGACATATTGCAATTCCTAAGCTATCAGGAAACACTAGAGAACATAACATAAAAAATGTTTGTTGTTTAAAAACTTGCAGAAGTAGAAACTAGAAAGCTAATACTGACCTGCATATTGAATGCAACCATCTGAGATCCATGTAACCAACCAACTAGTGGCTTGTAATTTGAGGACGTAATACGCGTTCCTTTGGGATAAATCCTAAGAATATTCTTCTGGGTGAACCTGTCAAAAAGATATTCACACACATAAAATAAGTACAGACACTCGCAACTATTGATATGAACATAAAATTCCTACTCCTTGCACAAGATAACAATTACTAGTCTATACCTCACTACATCCTCTTCATGATTTTCTGCAGCCTTTTCAAGTGCCTGTTCTGACAAACTTAGGCGCCTAACTTTATCCTTTTCAACTTTCAGTGCATCCTTTAGTCCACCTTTCGGTTTGCCAGCATGAATTGCAATCAGACGCTTGTAAGCAGGAGATGAAGGTGATTTCTTTCCCTGTTCCAAATCTTCAGCATCATGGTCGCTCCTATCACTTCCTGACTGCAATGTATAACACATTAATTCACATAGCAAACACCCACTTATGGTGAAATGAATCAGACTCGGTTCTCATTGCCTGTCAAACCTTAAAACTTTTATCTTCATAGGATACATCCCTTGAAGGCTCTTCACTCCAAGTATCATCATCATCATCAGAATCTTTGCCTTTTTGTAAGCTACAATGCTTGTCATCTTCAGTTTCAAGGTACTCTTTTGGAGGTTTGGTTGAAATCAGAATCTTATACTTCAAGCTCTCGGGTGTCGGAAGTTCTTCCAACTTTTCTGATTCGGGGAAAAATAGCATCGACCCAAATGTTTCAGTTACAATCTACAAGGACAGCAAATAAGAACATGAATAACATGATAATGTGACAGAGGATTACATTTCACAGACAAAAAAACCTACTCACCTGAGCTACTTTCGCTTGAAGATCAGGTGTGAGGTGGTCTTCCAACGTTATAATGACTGGATAAGGAGAGGTCGTGAAGGCATACTCTTTGATTGATTTCAAGCACCTCATAAGTTCTACAGGAGTTGTCAGGGTTCTGCATACATCAAAACACATCTTAGACTAATCTGCTCCATAAGAAGAATGGTAGGATATGTTAATAGTCAAGTTTTGTTGCTGCAGTAACAACACCTGCTCACAACTTGCACCAACTTCACTCATTCCCATGCAACATGCCAAAAGAACTTCGGGTTATGGTGATAATCCAGTATCAAAACATGCCAAGATTATGGGCTAACAACTAATATTTGTGTCCACAAGAATGGAAGTAAATTGCATACCTTCCATGAAGTACATGCACATTAGCTTTTGATGAACTTGGCCATAGATCAAGTTCTATGACTCTCACACCTCGCTTGAGTGCTTTGATGATCGGTACTTCACTGCAATTACTACTTAACTGGTTCCCAGTCAAGTATGAATTGTGGCCCGTGTATATGAAGTAATGAGATAAGGGAGCAGTCATATCTTGGTGAACCTAAAATCGGAACACACGTTTTTGTTAGAAATGATGGCATGCGTAATGAGTTAAATGTTCTCTACAGATCTTACGACCATCATTTTTATCACAAAAATCAGACCAGAAAACACAAACACAATCAAAAGAAAGATAATGAATAACATGAATATTACAAACTAGATAGACTATCTTCCCCTTCCTGCCAACAAAGAATCACTTGCCATCAAGTTCTTGAATTACAGCCACACCACAGTGACTAGTTATCTTCAACTCATTTATCTTCTTGATGTAAATTTAGTTATTGGTGTTCCTTACTACATCCTTCACTGCAATTGGAAAAGAAAACATGACTACCTCACACTTACCGAAGTGAACCTAACCCGAAACACTCTAACAATAGTAGTCATGTTGCCTTTTAAGAAGAAAGTGAAGTCAAAATTGGCCTATACTCATTTGTTGGTTTAATTGATACTCTACTAGGTAGCAACTCAGCTCTCCTCTGTAGCTGAAAAACTGTGGGTGAACAATTTTTTTGCAAAACTAACATTTAAACTATTCAAAAGTGAAATGTAACCACAGAATGTTAAGCAATCCTGACTTCACCTCCGATTTCTCACTATTAGAATAAGAATATTATTAGGAGAGAATGAAGGTTTCATCACATATAGAGAAGAAAGGGTCTATGCACTTCTCTGACTAAGAAAGAGGGGCTGCTTGACGTTGCATGTTAGAACTCATTAAAGCCCGATTCACATCATTATGCTAGATAAAAGGAAAGTCAAGCCGATGTCGGACTCTAACACGCCCCCTCCAACAGAGGAGGGACCTAGGGCAGTAGACCTTGACTCATATAACATGCTAGAATTAGAATATGCAGAACCCCATTAGATTACTCTCCAAAAAAGCCCTTGCAAAGAGAAAGGAGGTTGCATCATATATAGAGGAGAAAGGGTCCAAGTCTGGCCAATGTGAAACTCTAGCATTCACTTCCTTCATCAGTGTATATGATTAACTAGTTGTGAGCTAAAAAATCAGACACTATTACCTAAAAGTGGAATAAGTAAGCATCCATATCATGAAAATGAAGCTCGGCGCTGAGTTTTTAGATCAACCCTACTACTTGCACGAATCGAAACTGACAAGGACTTGTAAAAATTCAAGATAATACCAGTAATAGAAACAATTTTGTGAATAACATGAAACATACCTGAGATCTAATAGCGGGATTAAGCTCGGTGCTGAAGAGGAAATGATGAAAATCCTCTAAAGAGAGAGCCTTCCTGTGAATAAACTTGGCAAGATGGTGGCGCTTGTGAAGTATCTGCTCCACTATACGCTCAGCATCCGAAATCGAAACGGCGTGCCCATCACCGCCCTGATACTCCTCTAGAAACCGCCGAAGATGATCCGCCGTCATATGGACCCCATCGTTGGAGTACCTGTTGAATGCTTCTTTGACATCAGAGGGTGGTTCCGGTTGCGTAACCTTGAACTTCCTAGTGAAACAACAGCAGACCCTGTAATTCCCCATTATCCTTTTTTTTTCTTTCTGTAAGATTCTGTCTCAAACTTCAATGGACGAGGGTAATAAGAATTTGGGTGTGTGTATGTATGTATATATATATAGAAGGGCGATTGAGGTTTACGCAACACGCAGTGATGGAGAACACGCTTCTTTTTCAAGATTCGGTGAACGTAGCGATGAGAGAGAGCGTATGCTTCATGTCCGTTGATATGCTATACATAACATATATGTGTGTGAACATACACACAATCAGTATTCCCTTCCCGCCATTTTTTTAATATCATCCGTACATTAAAATTATAAATTTCTTTGACTTTATTTATCATACTCATAATCAGTTTAAATCATGCATTGATATCGATATCTATGAAGAATAAATTAATACGTATTGATACGTTTGGCAACATATAAAGCATCTCTTAAGAGAGGTTTTTATAAAAACCTTTTTTTGTACTTTTTATTGTCACTCCATCCGCAACTCATCAAATTAAAACTCTTTTAACGTTTCATAATTAGGGATGGTGATTTGTCCCGACCCGGTAGGGAACCCGGTTCACCCGACTCGAACAGGGACAAGGATTCCCCGCTAAAACGGGTCCTGGGTCCGGAGCTGGGGATCCTCGGTAGACTCAAACCGGGGACGGAGCCAGGGCCGAGGGTGTTACTCAGGAGATCCCTGGTAGAATCAAACTAACAAATATTATTCATGAGGTTTGACCAAGGATTGACCGGATTTTGACCGGGGACGGGATGTTAATCCCCGTACCCGCCAAGGACCAGGGACGGCGGGTGTTACTACAACCGGGGCTAGGGCGCCTGATTACAAAACCCGCCTCATCCCCATCCTGTTACCATGCCTATTCATAATGGTACTCTTTATAAGAACCTTCTTTTTGTGGATTCATTGATTTTTAGCATCAATAATTATTATAAAGTCAATAAAATAAAATAATAAACAAGAAAACTGTCATTTCACCCAAATTTTATGGTAAGAACCAAGGTTTTTATAGAAAAACCTAAAAAAAATGTGGTTCTTATAAGAAATTTCTACAATTTTAGTTATTACAAGCTATTTCACTTCTAATAAGAACCTTGCATTAGAGATGCTCTAAAAAGCATATCCAACAGATTTTTCAAAATGAAGAAAATAAAGATTTTAGGGATTTTGGGCATGTTTTTGTTCTAACAGGTTCTTCAAAATGGAGAAAGTGGGAGAGAGAGTATAAAAAACTCCAAATTTTAAAAACACCCCAAAAATGATTACAATAAGATAAATATTATTTAATACGTTTCCACCAATAAAAAAAACTTTAAAAATAAATATTTAAAGAAAGAAATAATACTTTATCATATAAAAGAAATGTAATAAAATAATCAATGTTGTAATCTTCAAAATGACTAATCTGTTGTGCTTAAATGTATTTTTATCAGAATGACGTCTCTTAATGGTTCTAAAACTATCTGAATGATTTTGTATCATGGATCTCCCTTAACCATTAAGAGCCTTAATTTCATTGTACACGATTACCAAACAATTATATTTCATTTTGCACTATATCCTGAGAGTCTCTTAATCATTCTGCACCAAACCATTCAGCAATTGCCAAACAACCCCTTAATTGCCAATACATTCAGAAGCTTCGAAGATCTTCTACAACACCAAGTGTTAATCCTCTAAACCCGATACAAGATCTTCTACGATACCATCTTAGATGTAAACGGTTCTTATTAGTTATTGGATTGAAAAAATTAAACCTAAATTAAATTATAATAATAAAAAAAGTTGAATTAAATAAATTACAGAATAAAACAAGAACTTTTAAATAATTAATTTGATACTAATATCGATTTGTTTTTTTTTTAATTTTAAGATATCTTCAAACTTATATTTTATTTAAAAATAAAAACATTATCGTTTTTCTCAAAACCACATAAAACTGTATTATAACATCGATAAGACAAAATAAAACGAAACATTAAAATTGAGATGTATCTCGCTGTATTGCATGAGTACCCTTATAGTAAGTAATAAACCATTTACGACGTTTATCAACAGATATTATAATATTTTATATATATAATAAATAATTTTACCAAATTTAGACCAAAAAAAACATGAAGCACCAACTGTAAAATAGGTGGCCGAAAAGGGTATTTGGATTCGAGCATAAATTCGGGGGGGAATTAAAGTTAACGATGTGTAATAAAACCTTACTTTAGAGGTGCATCTCCTTTGCTACGACGTCGTACTTATTTTTTAATTATTATTATTTTTTATAATTTTATTATCGATTAACATGTGAGTTTTTTTATTTCCATCGTGCCCTTTTTGAGTTCGTGCTCGATTGGATGCTCTTAATTTGCTTTTTTATTTCTTTATATATAAAAAAAAGTATTTTATTATTATTAAAATCATAATTAAAAATGGGAATAAATCAAAATGGATGCTTCATATCAATAGAAGATATATGAAATGTGACTTTTGACTTTATTGGGTTTTTTTTTTAATATAAATTTTATTAAAAAAGAAAGGAAAACGAGAAAAGGCATCGAGGCAGATTTACGAGAAATAGAAAAACGGTCTACGACCCATCAAAAACTCAAAACAATTGAGGATTAGGAACAGATGAAAACCAACAATAGACTACAACCAGAACCGGAAGAAGAGCACTCGAACGACTGCTGTAAAAGAGGTGCAGAACCTGAAAACCTGAGAAATTGATAAAGAATTGCACCTCAAGGAAACCCGATTAGAAAACTTTATTGAGTATTTATGTTTCTTTTAATTATATGTACGTACAGTTTTTCTATAAGAGTATTATGTTTATGGAAACGGGTGTTTTGTTTAAGTGATATTTAGGGGCCATTTACCAAACGCTTACCCGGGTAAGCGTTTACCAATTAACATTATCTCACCGCATGGATATTGTAAAGACCAAGAATCTTACCCGGTAATAGCGAGACAAGGACCAAGAGTCTTACCCGGTAAGTGAGGGCGACGACTCTTACCACGGTAAGCGCTTACCGGGTAAATTGTTGCATACGATGTCGTTTTGGTGGACCAAAATCTTACCCGGTAAGTAAATAATAATGTCAAATTTTACCGATAAACATTTACCGGGTAAGTGTTTGGTAAACGACCACTAAGTAATACTTTAAGTAAAACTTTCTTAAAAATCATCTAAATTGACATATATGTCATTTATTGTATATATATTATATATAAAAAATCATTTATTTACATAAAGATTATCTAATAAATTTAGTTAAGGCATTTATTTATAATTTTTATTTATTTATAATTTTCTTGATTTAAGCATGATTTTTATTTATTTATTATTTTTTATAACATTAAAATAACTGTGATTTAATTTTTCATTTAAAATATTTGTTTTATTGAAGTAGTTTATTTAAAAAAAATACAATTTTCATCAAAAATTACATGTGATATCTACAATTAATCCATATTATTTTACCTAAAAAAGAATTACTAATTTTCGTTAATGTATCATATATGATATTGATCATGGTAGAAAAGAAATATAAGTTATCTACAACATTACATGTGATATGTGTAAATTATGAATTACAATTTGAAGTACATATTATCTTATCATTTTAAATGTGTTTTGTTACCCATCACATGTGATTATGTTTTTTCATTAATTTTTTTTAATGTTTAATTTGAATCATTGTTTTCAATTTTAAACTACATATGATTAGGAAAACATTTTGAAAAAATTAATATTGTGAATTACATATGATTTTGACGAAAATTGTGATTTTTAAAATATATATATATATATATATATATATGATTAAGAAATCACATATAATTAGAAAAATATTTTGAAAATAATTAATTAATTGTAAATCACATCGATTTTGAAAAAAAAATGTAATTTTAAAAATATTGCTCTAAATAAAAAAACTAAATACACTTATTTTAAATGCAGTGAATATAAAATGTTTTTTTAAATAAAAAATTAGATCATATTGAAAAAATAGAATCTTAAATAAATACTTTCAATAACATTTATATAACTAAATTATTTTTATACCTTTATTTATTTATTTTTAGAAGTAATTACTTAAAGTATTATTTAATGAAATGATTGACTCACAACTATTCTCGTATTCTTTTAAATAAGTATCATTTTCGTTTGATTCTCTCTCTCCGTGTGTGCATATATATATATATATATATATATATATGTGTGTGTATATATATAAGGGCCTATTCAAGGGAGAACTGAGTTGTTTGTGGTAACTGTGAGAACTAATATTAACCACAAATCAATAGATAAATTAGGAAATTTATAAATTTRGTAATTTTAAATTAAAATCTTAATGCAAGGATATTTTTGGTATTTTAAAAATCTCCTCTCTCCTCTCTTCTCTCTCCGGCCACTTCTCCGGCCTCCGGCCACCGTCCTCCGATGATACCACTATGATACCACTGTTATACCTAAAAATATTTACTCTGTTAAACAAAAGATACATTGTGATACCTAATCATATATAAGATGCATAGTGATACCACTGTGTTACATCTTCGATCGACCACACAAACGACATCAATGTGATACCCAAGCACATATATGATGCATTGTGATATCATTGTAGTATCACCAGAGGACGGTGGCCGGAGAGAGAAGAGAGGAGGGAGAAAAGTTTTAAAATACCAAAAATATCCTTGCATTAATATTTTAATTCAAAATTGCTAAAATTATAAATTTTCTAATTTATCTATTGATTTGTGGTTAATATTGGTTCTCACAGTTTCTACAAACTAATTAGTTCTCATTTGATTAGACCCCTATATATATAAAGAGAGAGAAAAAAAAATTATTTTGCAAACCATCCATTTCATACAAACTTTACAAACTAATCAAATCCATCCATTTTTTTGATGAAAAACGAAGATTGAAACAAACTAATTAAGTAAAAGTAAAAAAAAAATCATATTGGAGACACAGAAGGGGAAAACGGGGACAAACATGTTCTATGAATCTGTTTCATTATAGTTGTTATACATATGTACCTGATATAACCATATATGACCTATGAACATGTTTCATTACAGTTGTTATATATATGAATCTGTTTCATTACAAGCTGTTATACATACCTATGAATATAAACTTGTTTCATTACAACTGTTATACATATAAACATGATGCAATCATATATGACCCTGTTTCATTGAAAATTATCCTGTTTAATTGAACAATTTGAGTCTGTTTCATTGAAAATTAGTGACGATTTTTTAAACAAAATTATTCTACATTTTTTTAAATGTGACGATTTTTTTTGAAAAAATTAATGGATACCTCAGTTAAATCTTTGCTAATATTGTTATAATCAATAATCATCCATATTTTATTTATATAAATATGGATGAAAGACCAAGATTGAAATAAATTAAGTAAAGTAAAAAAAAAACAAAAAATCATATTGGAGACACGGAAGGGGAAAACAGGGAAAAACATGTTCTATGAATCTGCTTCATTACAGCTGTTATACATATGAATATGTTATACATATGAACATGTTTCATTACAAACTATTATACATATCTATGAATATAAATATGTTTCATTACAGCTGTTATATATACGAACATAATGCAATCATATATGCCCCTGTTTTTTATTGAACAGTTTGAGTCTGTTTCATCAGAAATTAGTGGCGATTTTTTAAACAAAATTATTCTACATTTTTTAAAAGGTGATGATTTTTTTAAAAAAATTTAATGGATACCTCAGTTAAATCTTTGCTCATATTGTTCTAATCAATATATCATCCATATTTATATAAATACTATGTTGTTACCAAACTTATCTATCAATATTACATAATTACCAAACATAACTATTGTAAATTCAAATGACCATAATACCCTTATAAATTAAAAAAAACAAATGGATTTATGTGATTGGTTGTAATTAGTTTGTAAGGTTTTTACAAATTGGGAGAGAGAGAGAGAGAGAGGTTCAGAAGAAAACCTTAAAAAAATGAAAAATCGGAAACACTTCATCAACCATTAAATTAAATGATCAAATGGATGTGATTAAAGAGCCCGTTACAACTTTATTTTTAGATTATAAAATCTTCCATCCCTATTTTTTAAACCGAAAAGAATACGAAATATGATTAAAATTCAAACAAAACAAATTACACCAAAAATCAATCATATTTTTTTCGTCAATTTAACACCGATATTTATATATCTTTTCATTAGATTTTTCACAGGTTTCCGGTTTTCCATTTACTTAGCGTTTTCCTCTGAACTTTGACCCTATATACAGACAGACAGTAGGTCCTTCTTTCAAGAACTTGCTAATCCGTGAGATCCAATTTAAAACAGAAAAAAATTAATTGAAAAATAAAATCTAATATGCACATGAAAAACTGAAACAAATGAAAAACTGAGGAATATCTAATAACCGTTTAACTGTGTTATATGCACATGTACATACAAGTAATTTGTACGGCTTCCACACGTGCATATAAACCATTGAAACATTTTCAATTACGTGTATGAGCATATGCATACCATAAAATAACTGATTATTAAAGTGTTTTTCAGTTTTTAATCTTTTATGGGTTTCTCCGGAACTTCACTCATATATTTAATATCTCCTTTTATAATGTCATCAAAAGTTTTATGTATAAAACAACCTCTAAAAAGACTAAAACGTCCCTGAGTAGATGGTTCGACTCTAAACTTAGGGGGTGTTTGGGATTGCTTATTTTAGGTGTTTTTTTTAACTTATTTCAGTCTGGTACCGGTGATAAGCTAAATACTAGTGCTTGGATGAGGAAAAATAAAACTGCTTTTAATAAGCAGTTTTTGATAAGTTAATCATTCATGACTTGTGAAAAATTGTTTATTAGCATTTTAACCCTGTTTTATTAATGTTTGTTAATTACTAATTTTACTGATATAAATTTTTGTCAAAGATATTTTTATAAATGATGAAAAATACATTTTTACATGTTAAAAAATTCAAATAAATTAATAAGCAATCCCAAACACTCCCATAAGTCAATAATATGAAAGATTGTTCTTTTTTGTCATTTTACATGTATAAGCAAAATTTGTCAAACACTAAAAGACAACTTATCAGCTTATTGCTTTTTGGTACCGCTATAAACTAATCCAAATACTTTTACAAAACTCCGATATGATAACACATAATTTAATAAGCACCTTTACAAAAAAAAAAACGTAAGTTATTTTAAATAAGCGATCCTAATAAACACCCCATTAATGGTTAACGTGACTTTCACTAAAAACATGTCTGAATTTTTTGAGAAACGACATAGTTTTAATTGTAATGTGATGCGCCAAAATTAAAGAGTATTCCATTTGTCTGAACATGATAATACAAAATTAAGCACTTTTTGCTTTTTATTTCATGGAAGTCGTGGAGGTTTAGAACACAATCAATTTCATTATTTAAAAACAGTTGTAAAACGAATAACGACTTTTAAGATCCATTTAATTATTTTTCTAACATTGTTTTGGGACGAAAACGAAGAGCGAATTTATTCAATTTGATAAAACATTTCCGATAACTGTACAAAATGAAATATCTGATTAAAAACGAGGCTAAATGCATGAAATAATAATCTACTTTTATAAGTTTGCGTATTATATCATTGTGCTTTCATTTTTCATTATTATAATAATATACTTTCAAATTATTTTTATTAAGGCATTGTATCATACAAAAAATATACCCATTATAACAACAGATAATGTTTTGGTTAGAATTAAGATGACATGACACATGCTACCAGATTTCACTCTTCATGAAGGATGTCCACGTTAACATACTGCTAACGTCATTTACATATTATATATTAATTTAATCGAATAATATAAGTATTCATTAATATAACAATATTAAGTAGATTTTGTAAATCACAACCTATCTAGCTAACATTTTAAAATTAGAACGAAGAAAATAAGAAATGTTATATTTTTTAAAACAAAATATTTTATCTTTAAAAATATATCATATTTGTTTAAATAATATGTTACTCTATAATTTAATTTGATACAATTTAATATAAAAAGATGAACTAAAAACATATACTCCCGGTGATATATGAATTATTGGATTTTTTATTGAGTAATTTGTTAAAAAAAAATTATAATCAGAATTATATTTATGTATAATCTACATCAACTCATTTAAGTCAAGTAAGAAAAAAAGAGCAAGAATTAACCGGTTCAAAAATGTAAAAAGTTACCTATTACTATAATAGGTAGATTTTTCAAAGTACAATATACAATATTGTATTTGGATAACTGTAGGTGTTCGGATCAACTTATATGCACCGACTAATCTCCAGGCGACCACAATGGTTTGGAGTCATCGCAGATGAATCTCCATGGCCACAAGGGCTTTGGTAGCACCTGGGTTCGAACCCAGGGAAGATGAGATTTGTACATCCCCTAGTCTTAACCAATATGGCACAACCCAAGTGGTTTTGTGTTGTGATAGTTATTGGTCTTGTTGTTAGCATTTAAAGAACAAACCTTTTGGGATCCTTAGTACGTATTGCGCATGGTTGTTGGGTTTGCTTGTTATTTGATATTCGGACCTTAGTACGTAGTGTAGATACTATATTGTCGTCCAACAAAAAATGGCAATGACAACCACCACGATACGAGATTGAAATTACTTATTTACCCATTACAATCGTTAACAACAATGTTACTAACCGAATCATATCTAGAATACAATTCGTTTGTCCCTTTTCGTGATCACGAGATACCAATAATAACTACACATACCGACTATACAACTAAAACTAGCTACTCTACACAAGAAAGAAGCATTAGCAATAGCAGCTAGATTATTAGTTGGGTTTTATTCAAAATTTCGTTTTTGGCTTCTAACCATTTCTTGATCATTTCAGCATTCGGAGGAGGGAGTTTGCAAGGAGGAGATGGTGAAGGGGAGGTGGCTGACCTTTCGAGGTATCCACGTTGGTTTTCATCAGCATAACAAAGCAGAGAGCTGATACACTCTTCTAGGGCAGTTGAAGGCCGAACTGGCTTGAAATCCTGCAGCTTCGCATACTCGGTGATCAGATGAAACATGTAATCATATATCCGCTCAATGTTCATCCGCTCCATGAAATCTTGCACTGCTTTTCCTATTGCCTTTGCCTGTTAGACCCCCGAAAAAGAACAACAATCATTGATTAATATGAATATGGAAGCACGTTAAGTAATACTCGGACTTGTTTCATGAAAATTGCAACTGTTTCATTTTTCTGCAAGTTTCTCAAGTTACTATGCTACTTTTCTCGCGTGTCTGCTTGTTCCTTTTCCTTTTGTTTTACAAGTCGGGGTCCTTATGGAAATAGCCTCCTACCCTCTAGGAGAGAGGCACGGTTTGCATACATCCTATCCCAAAAACTACATTTGTATGAGATATATTGGGTTCATTTGGTATTTAGATGGGAGAGGTGATTAACCAATTTCCATAAACGCTATGTCCCAAGTCAAATTTACCAAGATTTCAAGAAAATGGAAGATGTACATCTAAGCATTTCTAGAGATACAAAACTTCTGGTGCTTGGTATATTATTGACAAAAGCCTAGGCTGAAAACGACGATGACATTCACCATAATGATGGAATCACTGATTTACCAATCATTTACTAACTGAAACATAGTTACAGAATCATTTAGACATTTTAGATGGACCAAATCTATGGACATCACCACACTCGTTGTAGCATTTTTTTATAGAAAAAAATGTGAGTTAATGCATGTTCTTGCCCTTATAAAGAACGAAAAAAATGGTGAGTTCAATGGTAAGTTTTGTGGTCTCCACGTGTTTACTCTCTCAGAAAACCAAACCTAACCAAACCCAGAGAATCCAGTAGATCTCACATAGAGGTAGAGTCGGGATAAGATGTATGCAGACCTTGCTCTACCCCAATGGTAGAAAGACTGTTTTTGTTTACTCTCTTATATATTTGGCAAATAGTCAAACAATTTTGTGAACTTGTATGAAGACAAACATTCCAATTTTCACGGCCAGAGGGAGTAACATGAGCAAGAAATACGAAAGCTTTACCTCAGATGGATGTGAATTCCCCCAATCGACTGCAGTTTTAATGGATCGACATATGTTTTCGGAGGAGATAGGCCAGTAGTTTTGCATGGGGAAGAGGCCTCGGCTGAAGAAATCCTCATACTTTGGTTTGATTATAAGAGGAACACAACCACATGAAAGTATATACTTTAAGCTTACAGACCAAGCATAGCCCTCAGCATATATCTTATACCTGCATAAACATATGAGAATGGATCATTAATCTCCACAAGTTACAGATATAGCAGATATTACACTTTTGACAACTGATGAAAATCCAAGCTTCCAAGAGGATAGAAACATATACCCTCTCTGCCCTAAGAAAATAGCAATGTTTGACTAAACAAGTAACTTCAGAACAATGAGTGTGACCAAATCAAACAAATCCAATATAATCCACTCAAAAGCAAGGTTTGGGAGAGGTAGGATGTAAGCATGCTTGACCTTTAGCGTGGCTGTTTTGTGAAAAATGTCTGACCATTTGTTCAAAAATAGTCTAAAAATACCCTTAGGAGGCGTTTTATTTGATGAAATGGTTTTGAGGAATTTGGATTTCGCGGAAGGATTTGGACTTGGAGCATTTGGATTTGGAAGAATTTGGAAATTTGTGTGTGTTTGGTTTGCAGGATTTAGAAAGGAATTGAATTCCATCTTTATGAATAATTTTATAAAAACAAAATATAAATAATCATAAAAATAATCAATTTAGTTTTCTATTAATTGATTATTACGAAACAAAAGTTTTCAACATATTTTAAAACATTATTACACACAAATCCTATGAAATCCACGAAATACCGACAAACCCCATGGGATTTCTAAATCCCATGTTTGTGGGATTTCAAATCCAAGCAATCTTTAAACCAAACATGGGATTTGAATGGAAGTGAATTCCAAATCCCTCCAAATCCTATCCAATCCTACAAACCAAAGTTGACCTCAAATGATATAAGAACGGAGCATTGTGGGCCCAGATCAATATCATTAAAGTTATTAATGATGGCAGATGGACAAATGAGGTAGTTATAACATAAATTTTTGTAATGCTGATAATTGGTAAATAGATAATTGTAAGTTACCGATGATTGCACTGGCTAGATAATTTGGAGTTCTTGAATCCATCTAATATTTCCTGTGTCCAATTCTGTAATGGAATGTTAAATCAGAAAAGGTAAGATTTCACGTAACAGCAGAAAATTATATACAGTTTATCATTTGAAAAACATTAAACGTTTGTTAATCATTTAACCACATATGTACCTGACGCAATATTTGCGCTCCCCACTTATTTGTGTCATTGCAGAAGAGCAATTCTTCGCGAACTCGAGAGTTAACATCTGGGTTTCCTTTCCAATATGCATATGGGAACTTCTTTTCCCAACTGATCACTTGTGAACCTTGCTTAATGCTTTGAAATTCTTCTTGCCAAGGTCCCAGGTGAACTTCTGCCCTGATGGAAAATACCCATAGCAGTACTGGTTAGTGCAAAGGGGGTCCTCCAAATTTCATCAACTCTCTAACTCTATAGATAGCAAGTAAAGCTTTTACCTTCACCTTTGATTAAAATAAAAGTTCCACTGATCTTCCCTTCACTATGTTTTTCAAATTTAATTTAACATTTTGTTTATAAGCAAAAGTTTCCCCTATCTAAATTCTTTGTTGTAGAAAAAGGCAATCCTAATAAAACTAAGTCTATGTTAAATTACATAAATTTCCTATAGCCATGTCTTCCATTAACACACACACTATAGTAGTTCCAAGAAACTTTACAAATCAGACACCAAATTTCTCTGAGTGATACAGGCATCTTTGATCTCTCTAATCCATGAGCAAAGTGCCCCCTCTAAATAAACCGGCAAACTTCCCTCCTCTGGAAGGTGGGAATGACTCATTACAAGAAAGTGCACGTTAACGCAGTCGAATACATGAGCATTAGGCACCGAGTTCAACTTGTTTGACATTTTTCTACATCACCGCTTGTTTCTAGGATTTGTATTACATATAATTCATGAATTTGGTAGTATGTTCATGAAAGGAAGATTGTCCCTGCTATAAGAAGAAAACTAAACAGTAGAGTCTCAGAAAACTATTATCCTGACCATCCCATGGTAACTGATTTTCTTACAAAATTTGGCCAAAGTCGTAGACTGGTTTATAGCGCAATTACCTTGCATGCTCAACATCAATTTCCTGACCTTCCTGTCACAGGTTACTCCAAAGGTACACTCCTAAATTCTCCGTTGAAGAAGTAGAAAATAGATGAGCACATGCCATGCTTATGTGCTTTAGTCAGACAGTATATCGATGTAACTATATCCTATGTCCAAATCAATATCTACATTTGATAGAATTGCATATAGTCTCGTCTATTATTTGAAAAGTTTTAATCCTTTTTTGAAGTATATGATATTTATATAATGCAAATGAACTCACGTACTCTCCTCATCTTTGGTGAGGTTTGAACCCTTGATCTCCTGGGAGGCTGAGCTCTACTAGTTACCCAGATACTGCGAGGCCAAAGGCCCTTTGGTTTGTTGTGAATCCTTCCATAACAATAAGAATATTCATCAATGCAAGAACCTCAAATTCACATAGGAATATTCATCAATGCAAGAACCTCAAATTCACATAAGGAAGAAGAGAGTCAGCCGTGTAACTTTAGAACAAAAAATATTTCTTAAACTCCAGTTCACAAATAGTTGGTGTCACAACTCTAATAGACAGAACACACTTAATATGTTACAATCTACACACCCAGATAAAAACACTCTTAATTATTGTCCTAGTCAACAGTTCCATGGAATTGTCATAAATTTATTTCTCTTTCCATTAAATGTTTGTCATCCCTCCTCACTGCAATACAGCAATAGACAAAGAAAAGATGTGGTAAAAGTTGCCACAAGTTTGAGGCAGAGTCATCCAAAAGATCTATAATTCATTTGCATATAAAATTCAAAGAATGTGCTGAAGAAAACCAATGATTTGAACTTACCAACCCCAGAAAGACCAGTCAGGAAATGGGATGTCAAAATGATCAGGTGTGGTGCAATAGCGAAAAATCGGCAAAGGCATAGCAGAGTGACTGTCCCTGTGAATAATAGGTCTGTCCATGCAATCAAACATCAATTCCACATCTGGAACCATCCCTGGATACCTCCTAAGGAGCTGTAACAATCCCCAAACCGTAAACAAAGCCCGGCTCTGCACACAGTCATAGTAATACTCCACATAGAGTTTTCCACCAATGATCACTATATGCAAAGAGGCAAATTTTTTGGCTTCCATCAAAAGGGTGTGTGAAATCCGAGTTTTAGACCAAGGTTCAAGGTCATGATGTATCCATCCGTAAAAAACAGGGCATTTTTCTGATTCATCAGTTAACATAGTCTGTCCATCTTTTGACTTGGTTCGGCAAGAAAGATAAGAACATCGTACAATCATGGAAGCTCGACCGATCTTTGTTTCATTTTCGAAAGTCTTGGCAGGGAATGCATGCCATGGAGTCGGTTCTAAGTTATGACCAATAATAGTTTTTGTCTGACTAGCCAAGTTGTCCACCTGTTTGACCAAATGCCAGCATCAACAAACAAATCCACATTCCACATATACAGAAAACTCGTACTATAACTTTTAAAAGGGTAAAACAACACCATGGAAGAATAATGGCAATCTTATGATTGCAATAGCATCAAACCCACGTAGTTTTGCAGCCATTGCTGTCATAGCAAGCTTTACACATACAAACATATATCTAAAACTTGTACAGAAATCTCAAAGGGTGAAAAGAATTCCATGGCAGCATAGCAAGTTTATGATAGAAAATTATCAAAACCACCTAGTTTTGCTGGAAATCCTTACTATAGCAAAGCTTTACCGGATTCAAATTGCTGAATCGATCTTGTAAATATGATAAATCCATTTGAATATGGTACAAGTAAATGAGTAAGAATAGAGCGCTGTACCTCAAGGAGGAGAAGAAACGCGAGAGTGAATATGAACAACACACCAAAGAAACGAAGGACGGGAGAAGGAATTCGAGCTATTTTTCTCGAAAACAATGCCATATTTCAAGCTTGATCTTGATGTTAATGGTGATTGATGGCAATGTGGCGTCGTAGCATAGATCCAAACCTGTTTTGTGAAATCAAAATTCGTCTCCGTTCGTCGCAGTTCTCTCTCTCCTCTTTCTCACACGGTAGAAATGGGGGAGCTCAACAACCACTTGATTGCGTTTCCCGCATCCTACTCTAACGACCGACTTTTTCTCTAATCTAGTATTTACACTTGAACCCCCTGAAGTTTTTCAATTTATCGATTCGACCCTTACATGATAACAATATTTTCTCATTTACGTCACAAGGGGTGTATTTGGTGTTTAGATAGAACATGATAGGATATAACAACGGTTCAATGTTTGGTAAGATAAAATAGAACAGAACAAAATAAGTAAAATGATCAATTTATCTCTAATGAGTTATTTATTTTAATTAATTAATGTAATTTATTAAATTATAATAGAATAATTATTTTTTATAACAAAATATATATTATTAGAAAGTTGTCGTTAAAACAATTAAAATGACATCAAATAAAAAGTGTATGTAGTTTCTAATTTTTATTTTTATCTCTTTTCTACATTATTTTTTATTATTAATCTATATAATAAATTACATAAATTAATAAAAATATAAAAACCGTATAAAAATAATATTTTGAGTACACTAAATGAAAGTTTAAGAAACATAAAATACAATAAATAAAATTTAAGAATGAATAAAATGTAAAAAGGAGACCTATTTGATGTTTTGGAAGATAATTAAGTTTTATTTTGAGGTTATATTGGTAAAATATAAGTTTGTTCCACCTTGTTCCATGGGATGGTATGTTCCTGTCTGTTCCACATAAAAATCATGCCAAACATGAGACATAGATCCCTGTTCTGTTCTACTGTCATGTCCAGTGTACCAAACTCACCCTTAAAGATATATTTTCCAACCAAAAACCTGGGTCAGTAAAAACCGATCATAGAAATGTCCAAATCTATCTCATGTGAAACTTTAATTTCCGATAGTGTTGGGAGTTTTGATTGATTTTTCATTAAGTCATGTATGTATAAAATTGTATGTATAAACCAATATGTCTAAAGATTGAGAAAGTTTTTATTTTGGATGATTTGTGTTTTTAATTTGGAGGGACAGGTTTGTAAAAAACTTGACCTTATGTTAATAAGTCACTTTGTATATCATTAAACCACTACCAAATAGTCGTGTATAGTTGACCGAATAAGCTGTGAATTCTATTAAACTCATTTAATTGCCAACAAACATGCCTTTAGACAGACAAATATATTATAGAATGACGAGTCCTAGGCACAGATGTCTCGGAGGTAGACCATTAAATTAAATTTGCCATATTTGATGAGATTTTCATTGTTAGATTGCAAACTACACGAGGTTCAAATGATACAAAAAATTATTATTTGCGTACAATTTTAATTTTCAAATACTTTTCTACCCTATACAAATTACGTCCTAGTAGACGACCAAATATATGGCAAAGAATCTTTTATATTCATCAAAATGTCACAATTAAGGTTATATATCTAAATATACCGTTTGGAGGATATATATATATATATRTRTATATRTRTRTRTATATATRTRTRTRTRTRTATATATATATATATATGTATGTATGTATGTATATATATATATGTATGTATGTATATATGTATGTATGTATATATATATATATGTATGTATGTATGCTCTACAAGATAGTGCAAATTACTCACCTCTTCAAGAATAGTGGTAAAACAAAATGCAATATGATGTAAAAGTGAATTGTGTAAAAAATATGAGTATATGATATGACTTTTACAGGATACTCATCAGATCAGTTATGTTGTATGTGTCAAATTGGGTGATTATGAAGATCAATGAGAGGAAGATACGAGTTACACAAATGAGAAAGATCCGCTAGATTTGTAGTACAACCATGTTTGACAGAGGAGTTTTTTGGACAGTGTTGGGAGCTGCTCCTTTCACGGATAAATTGATCGAGAGAAGTTTGCGATATGGTCATATTTTTAGGAGACAGACGAAGGGGGGAGGAGGAGGGGTAGGCGGAAGAGGACATATGATGAACAACTGAGATTTGGCATGACGATTTTCGGTATTTCTAGAACATGGCCTCTAATAGGAGTTATTGGAGATGCAAGATTAGAGTAGCAGAGACTCGAGATCTAGTTGGGAGGAAGGGAGAGAGCAAAGGGTCTGGAGGCTCTAGGTTACTAGAACTTTAAGTTAGACACAGGGGCTGTTTACCAAAAACTTATCCGGTAAGTGCTTATCGGTAAAATTCAACACTATTATTTACTTACTGGGTAAGATTTTAGTCCACCGAAACGGTACCATATGCAACAATTTACACGATAAGCTCTTATCGTGGTAAAAGTCGTTGCCCTCACTTATCGGGTAAGACTCTTGGTCCTTGTTTCGCTCTTACCGGGTTTGTTTTTTGGTCTTAGCCTTATTCATCCGGTATGGTAATGTGACTTGGTAAGCGCTTACCCGGGTAAGCGTTTGGTAAACGGCCCCTTAGAGATGTGTAGTTTCCACCGTCGGTTATAGTTTTCATGTATTTGCTTTATATCGTTGTTGCTTGTTTATTTCTTATCTCTAAAAATTTAGCATATCGGGGTCTTTCTCTTTTTCTATCTATATTGCTATTGGTTACTTATATCTAGCCTTTCAAAATTTAGCATTTTTGTATTTCTCCATTTCACACACTTTTCACTAGGTAGAGGTTCTCACAAGACAACTACTCTACTCATAGACATCAAGTCTGCATACCCTAGACCCCTGATGTGATATATTAAACTTGTTTAGTTTGGTTTTATTTTTTCATTTCACTTGGAATTGGCAGAGATACGACATGACTTACCAGACCCAATTAGATAAAGCTTGGTTCATTTTTTCATCTATCTAGATTTTAATCTTTTTTCTTTAAATCGGTTAACTTCTTATCCTATTTTTTTTTTAACAATAGTGACCGTTTTTGGACCGGTCAACCAGGTTACTTGTCTGGGTTGCGTTTTTACCTTATTAGATTTGGACCAATTCAAGTTCTTCCCAGACTAGGCCAAACCAAACTCGTTTCACATCAGATCACATGCAACTCCAATTGGAGTGGAGTTCAAAATCCCTAATGAAAAAATCCAACTAATACTAATAAAAAAACATTACAAAACAAAGAGGCTTTATCAACGGATTTTTCAGCCGTTAGGGATTTGTGATAAATCACCGTCAGATTACCAACGAAATTTTCAGTTGATGTTTGAAAATTGCTAGTAATCATGATCCCCGGCCATATTTTCCAACCGATTACCGATATATTTTTCCATTAGTGAAGCATCTTTGTTTTGTAGTGATAGAATTATGAGACCTCACACAATAAATTAGACTTTAAGATACTAAAGGATCAAAGTTATATAATTATCAGTTTGTTATATCGTATAACATAACAGTTGCAACAAATACTATATTTGCAGCTCAATATTATTATATTCAAATCCTCCAACATCATATCACTGAAAGCAGTACATGAAACCAAAAATCAACCAATCACGTCCCTTAATAATCGATCTATGACATCAATGTGTTCCAAGATCTCGGTCAATAGTCCAGGTCCCTGCAGCCTGCTTGAGAACGGTGAACAATTATGGGTCGAACCAGTTAGCCTTGAGTCACAATTGACGAAGAGATCAGAGTGGACCAAACCAACATTCAAGGAAGCTTTTAAAAACCAAATCAAATGAACTCACTATATCCCACCTAGAGGTGGAGTTTGTCTAGGAGGTTAAGATATACACAACCATCACCTCTACTCCACAGAGTAGAGTAATTATTTCCATGAAAACTCTGCCTTGTGAAAAGCATGACAAACAGGAGAACGTAAGAAACCATAAGATTTGAAATATTGGTTAGATAAAACAATGATATACAAATAGAGGTAGGTACAAGAAAAGCATAACTAATTAGTCTAACTTACTAAGGGCCGTTTACCAAATACTTACCTGGTAAGTGCTTACCGGTAAAATTTAATACTATTAATTATTTACCGGATAAGATTTTAGTCCATCAAAACGACATTGTATGCAACAATTCACACGGTAAGCGCTTACCATGGTAAGAGTCGATCGCCCTCACTTACCGGGTAAGACTCATGGTCCTTGTCTCACTCTTACCGGATAAGATTCTTAGTCCTTACCATATTCATCCGGTGAGGTAATATGACTTGGTAAACGCTTACCCGAATAAGTGTTTAGTAAACGGCCCCTAACCGTATCTAGCTATCTCCCACGCTCTACCTCTCCAACTGCCTACCTCCACTCTACTTTAGCTATAAATCCCACCCACTAGTCTGCTATCCTGGTCCAACGTCTCGATTTAACTAGAAATCCATAACGTGCGGGCTTTTCAAGTTTGGGACCAGGCCGTCCAAGCCGGTTTTCGGTGGACTAAAAAAAGCCCATGACTTTTCAGGCCGGCGTCAAGCTTTGGGGTTGAAAGACGGTCTGGTTGGGCTTTCTAAGGCCACGCTTTGACTGAGCCTTGAAAACAAAGTTGACCTAGAACCGGGCCTCTTCGGGCCAAGCTTCGGGCTTGGGCTTTTTTGTGTACTTTTAACTGTAATATCAATCACTTTCGAAGTTGACCATTACATCAATACAATGAAGCATGGTGATTGACAAAGCTGATCAGTTAGCAGGAAAGGCAGGCTCAAAGTAAAGTAACACAAAAAATGCAGAGCAGCAGGTGGATGGTTGGTGGCGCAAAGTAACAACAGGCTTAAAGCACAGAACGATAACAGATAAAATAGCAGATTCTGTTTGATGTTGGATTGACAAATTACGCTCACTTAGCATCAAGGCTAATGCTTATGCTTACCCGACACTGCAGCCTAGCGCTTGACTCGCTTTTTGGAGTGCTAAGTTGGTCTAAACTGCTTGCTTAGGGACTTGGTTGGAAATTTCTAGAAAAACTTGAACAGAAAGAATGTTGTTGTATTGATTGTAGATTTCTTGGATGGTTTGCAAATGAGGTTTCCCCTAATGAGCATTGTAGATGCTAGATACAACAGATTCTCTGAAGCTAGAAACATTCTAGTCACATGCTCTTAGATTTTACTACCAAACATACTCGATCCATATATCAAGAGATACTAGAGAAACCTATTATATGATACAAGAGACCCCTGCACCATCCCGAGGAGTCTTTCCTACAGAATTCTAGACTAGCAATAAGCCTCCCTTGAAGGATGCTTGTAGGCAGTTCAGTACCTGAGGGATGATCAAGTTAACCCAGCTCGAGAACTAGGGGAACTGTGACATTGGACTCCAAACTCATAATGGTGACTTACCTCCAATCAGAAGTTGATATCAGCAGCAGGTGTCAGAATCAAAGTGGCATCTAGAGGACCCTAAAAGAAACCAGGGACAAGCGAAAACATATCAAACATGGTGGATACCAAAAGGTTGTGGACAGAATGTTAGGCAAAGAATCATGAAGAGAACTTTACATCACCCAATCCAAATGGCATACATCCACAAATGCACCTTATGAGACCCCCAAACCAAATTGTTCTATTACCTGTCTCATATTATTGCCTTGTTGGCCAGTAGTCCAAGGCATGTACACCAGTGCATTCATACAAATACCCTCCTACTCAAAAAACTGACTTAGAGACACCCACAATCTATTATGTGAATCACAATTAACACAATCTAAAAAAGCATTTCGTGTAGATTGTTCATATTCAACATGCATTCTATATGATAGAAACTCTTACGACCCATGAATGACTCCGGAAGAGTTATACAACAAACAACATAACACAATAGACCAGGCAATTTATAAGATCAGTCCATAAGATCTCCTGCAATGTCTTAAAACAGCATGTAAACTAATACCCCATGGTAACATTTAATTTAATTGGCAAAAACCCAAGTTACATTAACTATTTACCAATCATCACCATTGCAAATTATTGATGAATCGTTTATTTCATCATCATTCAAGGACATTAAGTAGTACTGGCATCAACTAATGTTTGAACATTTGTATTGAAGTGCACATGGTAAAGTCAGAAGGTACACAAACATCTTGGCCACAAAAGCAAATACCAATACATGGAGAAAACTGGAAACTAAATCCAATTACTGGCACACCATATATTGAGAGCTAACATTTTAAGCCAAAAACATTTTCTATCAGATGGACATAAAAAAAATTCAGTCAGTTCATGCTCAACACCACAAACACAAATAAACAAACATACATACTGAGAACTAATATTTTAAGCTAAAACATTTTCTATCAGATTAAAACTTCGGAACGAGAATGTAAATGGAAATGGGAATGCAGGAGACGGGAATAGGGATAAAATTTCCATTCTGCCCAATTTGGTCAGATATGGAAATTAATGGCTCTACGGTGATAGACCTATTATATTATATCAAACCAAACCACATTTTTCGTTATCATTCCCATTCCTTACCCCTCAATACCCTCAACCAATTGCCGGCTCAAGTACCTTCGGTTTATAGCATCATCTGGTAAACATCTTTTACCTCATATGTCAAGTGACTCCCTCGTTACCAAATTTATGCTTTTTTCACCTTAAGTTTTGTCCCAGAATAAACTTGTCTTCAAACAATTTTAAACAAGGTTATCAACAATATATGGAGAGAGATCATTCATCTAAAGCTTCATCACTACACTACCCTCCCTCAGCTAAATCAGGTTGATGTTTTCACCCTTGTCGATTTTGCTTCTTCATCCATGGAAGTATACTCGATGTGAATCTGTACCTAAGATTCTACTCAAAATCAACACGATCTACACCCTTATTATATCTGAAGGTGTTTGATTTAATGGCACTTCGAGTATAGGCATCATAAAGTGTATTCCTATTATATCTGAATCTAAGTAATTAGAAATTTTCTCAATTCGGAAAACTATGTCAAGATAATTGTGTATTTAAGGAAATTTATACATATTTAGGGAACAACAATTCAAGCACCGGTGTGGCAACTCAAAGAAAACAAAACCATTGCGATGGTAGATAATCAATTAGAAGTCCAGCATCAATCAATCTGTCCTTAATCAACAAAAATAAACAAATCACTAGTTCATTCAGATCTTCATTTCTAGATACGATCAGTCACAATAAAACCCCAAACGTCATCCAAAACTAAGACACCCCATGCACGAACGTACACGACACAATCCAAATAAACACTCAAAAAGACTCCGAGAATAGAGATAATACCAAACTCTTGGAACACAAATAGCTTAAAAGCATTATTAAGATATGATCGAGAATTACTGAAACTAAGCGACAAAACAGAATATATATATATAGATATATATTTAGGGGAAACGCAAGTCACGAATCTGCGTGCTCCAGCTTATCATTTTTGTTCTTGACGCGTCGCTGATGAACACAGTTGGCGAAATTGACAGATAGATTCGAATAAACAGAGCTTACCTTTGAGATATTACCATTAATTTCCTGAATCAACGCAACATTTTTGACCATGTTATCAGGAATCTTCGACTGATGATTCTCGTTCACTTGTTGAATCAACAACCGGTTCTGATCCAAAACCGATTGAACTTCCTTAAAACTTTTGCTCAGTGTCTCCCAAGCTTCCGCATCGCACTCCTCCTCGCCTTCGTCCTTCTCCGCTCCGGTTAACCACCGCTTCACCGTCGTTTGGTCACCGGAATTTTTCGGTTTCTCCTGATAATTTGCCTCCTCTACCGCCGATGAAGAATCCATTTTTCCCTCGCACACATATACACTTTGTCTAAAAATCGCACACACAAGCGATCGTCAAGGGCAAGGAACAACTCAACAACCGACCCTATCGAAAAGGCGGTATTTTTTTCTCTCTTTCGTGCACTTTCTGATAACCTAACGGAGGAGTTATGGTTTGTTAGACGACGACAAAGGATAAACGTCTGATTAAATGGAGTGGATGTTCAAGATTTGGTTGTGATTTAAGAAGGTGACAGGGCAGTGAGTTTAATTGTCAAATAGATCGTACGGATCTTAACTGGTTCTGTGATTGGGTAACGCATACGGCCACACGGGAAAGCGAAAAAAATATCTTCAAAGGCTAAATTTACATAAATAGTCCCTAAACTTTTTAAACTTACAGGTTTTTCCCTTGAGAAAAGGTTTTGTTCTTTTGATCCCCAAAATAAAACTTCAACGATTACAATTTTGGTCCTTTGAGATATGTTTTGCTCTTAGATCAATCATGACTCGGTGTACCCATTTTTCCGTGTCCTCATCAGTGTTAATTAAAGTATTTGACACGGGTTTTAATTAGAGATGAGCAAAAGTAACACGAACTTCATAACTGATCTCGGTTAATTAAAACCAGACTTGAAATATAATCGATCAGTTACTGGTTTTAAAAAATAGGCCTATACCAGCAAGGATGGAGCCAAGATTTAGGGGTAGGGGGAGCACCAAGCTTAGAGTTCGGATTTAGGTCTTATTTTTTCATTTGACATGCTAGTTAATAAGTTCATCAACGTAGAGTTTCGGATTACCAATATTGAACCATCGTCGTACATGACCACCATTAGGGGTGCTCAAAAACCCGACCAACTCGATCAAATCGATGAACCCAACCCAGCCTAAAGCGAAATAACTCAACCCGATGTCTAACCGAGTTGTAAAATTTTCAAACCGTAGGTATTTGGTTAATATTGAGTTACTATTATTTGAACCCAACCCAACCCAACCCGATGAACCTGATATCCTTTTATTTCTTGGATTTAATATGATTGTTCAATTTCTATTAATATATGCATTAGACAAAAACACTATCACGTACGCTATTCATATACACATCTTTTCAATCTATTCACATCTCTATATAACTCATTCGTATATATGTTCAGTAATTTTAAGCATATACACGTAAATTGAGAAAATTAACTGAATGTGATATACGTAAGAAGTATGAATAAGTTGTATCAAATGGTTGATGATGAAAAATAAATTATGAGTAGAAAAATAACATATTCAAGGTTAGAAGAATATTTTAATGTATCAAAGTATCAACCCGACCAACCCGTACGGTTTGGTTCGGGTTGCACTTTCGTTTGGGTTGGATTGGTGTAAGATTTTTCAAACTGCAAGCATTGGGTTGGGTTGATCAAATGTCTTCAACCCGATCAACCCAACCCATGAGCACCCCTAACCACCACCATGAATCATGTTTATAAGACGCTAAAAAACACTGAATTGTCTGAATAGACTGTTTTATAAGACTTGAATTTATAAAACCAAATAAGTTTATATGAAGTTTGGTGTATTAACAATTTTTAAGACACTTTTCAAATAAACTGTCATTAACTTTTTTATTGGACATTTTTAGAAGTGTTCTATGAACACATTTTCTTATAGGAGACTTGTTTTTATAAGAATTTTTCGAAATAATATCATATAAAAAATCATATGCAGTTTTATTTCAAATTGTCCAAAAAAAACTTATCAAGATGGCCAAAAATATTATAATACTTTTACATATGATGCATAAGTGTATGATCTTATACAGTTAAGTACTACAAAGAAGTCTTTTAGAACAATCATGTACTTTTAACGTCCCATAAACTCAACTTTATCGTAATGATCCAAGATGCTTGAATATGTGGCCTGACTTGGGATCATGTGAGACAATGTTATTTTCATGAAACACGATTTTTACACTTGAAACTTCATAGCAAAACACGTTGGATCTCTTGTATCAATTAAGATGTGAAGGTAACCGTCACAGTGTTTTTGCTGTGAAGATTTGACTTTTTTTTTACCTTCACAACATTTTGTTGTGAAGTTTCAAGCATAAAAAGCATGTCTCACGTGTCTCATGAAAACAACTTTGTCTCACGTGAATCTAATCCTATGTGGCCTTGTGGGGATTTTGTTCTTTGCTAAAAACGATCATTATAAGTGCGAAGTGTGCATCAATCTGGCTATAAACACAATCGCACAATATGATAGTTCTCTATTCTCAAATGTTTTGCTACTTGATGAAGTAGGTCGTTCTATTTTCAGATGTTTTGTTATTTACAGTAGACTGTTTTATGGGGTTTAAGTTTATAAGATGAAACGATAATAAGTTTTATCTAAAACTGTTGCAATAAGTTTATAGGCCGTTTTTGGTCATCATGACAAGTTTTTTTTAGAGTATTTTAAAAATAAAACATCGTTTTAGTTATTTTATACGACACTATTTGAAAGAAAATGTTTTAATAAACAAGTGCCCTATATAAAAATATGTGTTTATAAGACACTTCTCAAAAGTGTTATGTAGAATAACTAATACGATGTTTTTTATTTTTAAATGTTCTAAAAAGTTTGTTAAGATGTTTAAAAGTGTCCTATAAACTTATTAAAACACTTTTAGATAGATGTTTTATTGTTTATTCCTATAAAATTAAGACTTACAAAAGATCTATTAGGACACTTAGGGGCCGTTTACCAAACACTTACCCGATAAGCGTTTACCGGTAAATTTAATATTATCATTTACTTACCGGATAAGATTTTAGTTCATCAAAACGGTATCATATGCAATAATTTACCCGGTAAGCGCTTACCGTGGTAAGAGTCGTCGCCTTCACTTACCGGGTAAGACTCTTGATCCTTGTCTCGCTCTTATCGGGTAAGATTCTTGATCCTTACCGTATTCATCCAGTAATGTAAAATGACTTGATGTTCACTTACCCGAATAAACGTTTGGTAAACGTCCCTTTACTAAATGTTTACTCGATAAATGTTTATCGGATCAGTTTACCTTATTGGATGAACATGAAAATGATTGAAAATCTTATATGGTAAAAGTGATGACACAGACTGAGAGTCTTACCCGGTAAGTGATAGTGATGACTCTTACCCAGTAAGAGCTTATCGGACAAAAAATGTTGCATAAGATGTTGTTTTAATATATTAAAATATTACCCGGTAAGCTATGTGAAAGTGTTGAATCTTATCCGTAAGCGGTTAACGGGTAAGAGAAGGGGTCATTTATCAAATGCTTACCCAATAAGCACTTACCAAGTCACATTACCTCATTGGATTAACATGGCAAGAACCGATAATCTTATGTGGTAAGGGCAACAACAAGGAACGAGAGTCTTACTTGGTAAGTGAAAGTGACGACCCTTACTTGGTTAGCGCTTATCAGGTAAATTGTTGTCTATGAACTAAAATCTTACTTGATAAGGTAAATTAAAGTGTCGAATCTTACCGGTAAGCAGATATCAATGTTTGGGTAAATGGCCCCTTAGATATTGTTGGTGTCATATAAACCCAAGTTTTTATAGCGTCTATCAAATCATATATGTAACTGTTTGAAATGGATTTATTACGGTATATAACGAAAATGAGAGTAATTAATAATGAGTAATATAATGTATTCACGATTCATTAACATAATTATAATTCAATTACGAAATATAGTATCATCATAATTGTAAAGGATATGACTGTTTAATTGTCAGGAAAGAATTACAAACCGACTAGTCAGTCTACGTTTAAAACGTAGTAATACATTTAATGAAAATCATGTATTATTCAACACTAGAAGGGTACTCGCACAATGCAACGAGATATATCTTGATTTTAATGTTTCGTTTTATATTTTGGGTCTATCAATGTTATAATGCGATTTTATGTGGTTTTGAAAGAAAAATGTTTTTATTTTTGAATGAAATATAAATTTGAAGATATTATAAAATTTTGATAAAAATAAGCGATATTAATATCAAATTAACTATTTAAAAGTTCTTTTTTTTGTGTAATTTTTTTAATTCAATTATTTATTATGATTTAATTGAATTTAAAAAACGAACTAATTTATTTTTGATTTAATAAAATAATTTATTTAAGATAATAATTAAATATTCTGTTAGAATTAAATAATATCCTAATTATATTTTAGATATTTTATAATTAAAATGAGATGTTTATCCTTTAAGATTATGTTTATCTGCAGTTAGGGGTGGCAATGGGTCAGGTTGGGTTCGGGTTCAACCCATTTATTAAACATGTTGAAATTTTCAACCCAATCCAACTCATCTAATTAAATGGGTTGAGATTTTTCAACCCAATCCAACCTGTTGGGTTAATGGGTTGACAGCGGGTTGACCTGTTATGATTTTCTTAACCCAACCTGTTAAATAAATGGGTTGACCCATTTAATTTTAAAATTTTAAATAAAAAATGAACTAGAATATTTAACTTTTTTGAATAAAACATAACACAATCACAAATACAACCAAATTGTTCAAAGTTTGAATAAAACACAACCACAACAAATATATTGTTCAAAATAAGTTGAAWTTTTTTAAATTCTAAGTAACTCGACTTCCACTTTCATCAACCCCAATTTCACTCTCGTACCTAAAATCCTAAGACCTAAAATCCTAAGACCATTAGTCCATCAGCAAGTGTAATCTATGCGTACAAAACAACAACTCATATGTAGCTTGTATAATTATCTCAATGAAGACGAATGATAACAATTCTCTTTGAGATATAAGTACAGTGATAGAAACAGATAACCACACTACACAAATAACAAATTCAAACTTGAAAGAAATCACTAAAGTTCGATAGAGTCATAAAGTAACAAATAATCAAAGAGAAGCATGAAATTTATATGATCTATACGGAGTTTAACAGCAAAATACTAAACAAACATAATCATAAAGAACTTACTCTGTTATCGTTCAACAAACGCCTCAAGCCCTCAACCTCAAATCGGAAACTGAAAGTCTGAAACCAACCCAAATCTTTGATTGGAGAAGGTCGAACTCAAAAGAAGGGGAAAAGATTAATAATCGAAGCGTA